AAACGAATTTATCATAGGTATTTAAGGCTAAGTACTAAATGCACCAATTTTTCGAAAAAAAAAATAAAAATTTAGAAAAAATTGATTGTGGCTGCTGTCCGCTGGAATTCGAATGCCAATTTCCGAGCAACTTGTACAACTAGTTTGCACCAACTTTGTACGAAAAAAGCTAAAGGCTTAAATTATAATAGGTTTCGATCTCAAAATATCTAAAAATAATAAAAGAAACGGGGGTTTCGGGGGCCCGGGACCCTGACCACCCTTGACTTTGCCCCACGGGTGAGAAACCATGGTTGGGATAAGGATTGGGGGTGGGAAAAGGGGCCATTTGATGGAGCGCAGTGATCAAACTTTCAAGGTGCAAGACCAGGTAGAGAGTAATAACTTCAAATTGGAAAAGTTGCAATTGTTGGGTTGGGGGCAGGGTCTCAGGTTGCGATTTTTTGTTCTTTTAAAGTTTATTGAATCATGAATATTTACTCATTTTAATCTTGAGAAACAATGTATTACTACGATGATGATATAAAAGTGAAAATACAAACCATTAATAGTATAAGGTTGAAAATCTTATTACACATAATAAGTTAGGAACCTTTGTTGCAATTTTTTCAAAACTTTTCATTCGTATATTTGGAGTGCTTTTTCAAGCTTACAAGTTGGTGAAAAATGTCAAGCGGGTCTGAGTCGGTTACAGACCCTAAGTTTTTATTTTTACCTCGCATTAATGAGGAGCTAGACACGAAGTCATTGTTGGCAATTCCTCCTTCGTCTCTAAGGCTGCTCGATCCATTTTTTCTTTGTATTTTAACTCCACCTAGGAGAAGTTTAAGAAGGAGCTTACTCCTAAGTAAAGGGGGAATCTAATTAATGCTCATTTCTCACAAGCTGCTGTTCTTCATCATGATCAATAGACAAAGTATGAGATTTGTGTTTTGCGGGCTAACAAACTGGAGAAGAAAGTTGATTCTTTGGAGAAGAGGTGCAAGACTCTTTAGAAGGAGCTAGGGAAAGCTGAGAAAGAGAAGAGAAAATACAAGAAAATGAGAAAAGACATTTAGTCCTTTCTTTTACAAGGGAGGCTTCCTTGGTGACCAATGTTAAGAGGGTTTCCAAAAATTTGAAACTGACCAAGGAAAGCCATATAGCTTATATTGCTAAAATTGATAACGAGATTTTACGCTTCAAGAGGAACTTCAAAAATTCAAGGCTGATCAATATGCTCTCTCTAAAGACCTTGATAAGACAAGGAATGAGAACGCTTTGCTTCTTAATCAGTTGGAGAGTACGGAGATAAAGTTGACCCTTGTAGAATCTAGCCTTTCTGAGGCGAAGGATGATGAGGCAAAGCTTATTGAGGAGGCCATGCAAGAAGAGGGGAGTAAAGTTTTTGACATTATTAAGAACTTTTATCCTAAGTGGAATATTGATTTTCTGGAGGCTCGTAAAGAAGATGTTTGGGCCATCCCTTCGTTTGAGGATTCTCCGTTAGCCGTTGAGGCTTTAGATAATCCATCCACTTCTACCGAATCTACCCAACTTGTGGACCCTATGCTCATTTCTTCTAGCGAAGCCACTGGAAGTGCTAAACCAGTTAATAGTGCTAAAGCAGGTAGCTGATACTTTTGTTGATGCTTTTCCTTCATCCATAGTGAGTGTACCCTTTAAGGGTAATGTCCTATTTGACCAAGATGATCCTACTTTTCAAAATCTTCTGACACTGGTTAACTTAGATAGATAGCTCGCTTTTGTCTCGTTTCTTTAACGAAATTTCACTTCTTTGTATGACACTACTAATTTGGCAATTTATTGATGAGATTTCATTATTTATGTTGTGAAATTTTGTTCATTTGGCTATTTGATTAGGCTTACGCTGCTGTTCGTGAAATTTCGCAATTGTACGGATCGTGACAAGAAATAAAGTGGATTTGTCAAGTCTGAACATCGTCCCACAGAAATTACTATCTACTATAAGGCCCTGTTTGATTGGCTTAATTTTCTTTGGAAGTTAGCAAATGTTTTCCTTTTCTAACTTTTTCGCAATGTTTGAAAGCAACAATTTTCCTAGGAATTTATTTTCCCCCTATGCAGACACGCGCCTCCTTTTCCAGGTAAATGATGATTATTTTTTTTTAGCATTGACAACAAATTCCAAACCCAATGGTAAAAAAGTTTATTCATTTAATTGACAATTTGCATGAAAAATAAAGCCAAACGAACACAAAAAAATTCGAAATTGTTTTTTTATTTTTTTATTTTTTTTTACTTTTTAGCAATCCAAACAAATTCTAATAAATTTTATCCTTTTAATTGACAATTTTCATGAAAAATAAAGCAAAACAGACCAGGTAAAAAATTATACCAATTAAACACACTTAACAATTCCCTGTAAAACATTTTTTAGGCAATTATTTTCCATGTAATTCATTTTATTTTCACCAATTTTCCACCATTGCTATCAAACGGACCCTAAAGTTTTAAACTAATCTAACTTCAATTTAAATTAAACTAATAACTAATGATCAAATCAAATTGTGTTTTCTAAATGAAGTTCTAATAAATAAAATAACAAACTCAAATTAAAACTGTAGATAAGATTACGTGATTGGATAGTTAGGATTTTCGATTTCACTTAGGTGATTTAATATATATTTAATTCCAATTCATTTAGCCAAATTTTCTTACGTGCTAACGATCGAATTAACCTGATGTAGTTAGTGATCTCTCTCGAGCAACACTAATCTTATTCATATGCCCGAAATTACTATATTTCTATGTAAATTCAAATACATATGAACTCATTTATCTATAGGAATTCAACATGGATCTCATAGTCTATAATTATCTCTCGATCTCTTATAATGTCTATGTTAATTATTGCACAAGTTAGAATTATACATCACGTCTCGATCTCAGTATTATCCATAAATCAATCAATTGTTGCGCAGACAATTAAAGCATTAAACACAAAATAATTAATTAACAAATATCAAAATGACATGAAAATCTTGAAATTAAACATATAATAAAAACCTTCAGTTACATCATCCATCCTAAAAATAAAAGTATTTAGTCACTGATAACGTTGAAATTAAACACGTAAAAGTGGAACGACATCACTAAAAATTGACGAAACGTGAAGCTTCTAGTGTGTCCCGTCTACTTTCAGTTGTCTGCGTGTGTATACTTTCTATGCGTGTATATTTTTTCAATGTAAGCCTCTTTTTCTTCTTCCAAATGGCTGCCGGCATATGCGTGTATATATAATAAATTTCTGCCTCTATTATTCTCCTTAGAAGCTGCCCACTTTTTTTATTTCTTTCCCAGCCGTAATGTTTGACATTTTCTCCTTTTCCTTTTCTTTTTCTTTTCTCTCTATTTCCTTCCAGAAGCTAGCTGCGCGTGAATAAATCAATTGCAGCCTCCTTTGCCTTTGCCTTTGCCTTTGTCTTTGCCTTGTTTTTTTTCCTCTTCTTGTAGGTGTGTGTGTATATATAATATAACAAGGCAAATGGGCCTATTTTCTAAATTTCAGCTCAATGTTCTCTTTACTTATATATTTAATTTCAAGTCGCTAAATACTGTATCTAATTAGAAGTCCAAATTG